TGAGAGTCAAAGGTGGCAGATACAGAGCTGTTATTCTGAATACAGCTGTGGGCCTCACATTCTGCCGTTCGTTCTGTAAATCGCTATTTGTAAATGACGTAGTTCTGATACGCTTACTCTAAAAAAAGAAAGCTCTACTTAATTGCACACGGTCAACTATAATATCTGAGTAATTGCAATTAGAACTATTTAATGTCTATGATTGTGGTGCCATCTGTGAGGAAGGAATCAGGCTGAGGTCCCAGCTCTTTGGACTTTGGTGAAATGACCGCTCACCACACCCACCATTAAGTATTCTGTGAGCACGACGACACAGTGGCTGAGACAAACGTGACAGCACACGTACACGGGCCGGAGGACACGGAACCACCCCCGAGCACCGTGATCTGCGGGACGCACGCAAGAACAAGCTTCACAAAGACGTGCTGCGCTAGGCACTGACAGAGGCTGCAGTTAGGGCTGGCCGCAGGGATGCCCAAGTGTGACCTGACGTGGTTCCACGGTGAGGCGCCCCTCCGTGGGCCCTGAGGGGTAGGGGGTCCCCAGGCCTGGAGAAGGAAGGAGGCCTGGCCGCGGAAACCGAGACTCGAAGCATCTGGGGACCGGGCCATGGCAATGCTTGGGATCTGTCGTAGGAAGCGGGCCTCTGATGCAGGAGGTGACGGCACTGAGCCGGGCAGTGAGATGTGGCAATGTTCTCCGAGGACCTGAGGCCGCAGGTGGGCCTGGCGGCGGGCTGCCTGCTCACAGGTAACAGGGGCGGCCCCCTTTCACACTCACAAAGGAATTCTAACCCCAGAATTCAACGCCTGGTGCACTGGGTGCAGGTGCAGAGGTCGGAGGACACCCCGCTAACAAGGGGTGACGCGTTCCTGACGAGCGGAAGGTGCTCGCATATTTCCCCCCCTGACCAAATCTGGCCTAGTCGCCAAGTGCCACGAACTTCCTGACACGTGAGTCACGGAAGGAGTGATTCTATTGGACAGAGTCCCATATTACGTAGAGCAGGACTTCGCATGAAGCTGCCACATTTTAACGCCTCCCTCAGATTTGTTTACAGTTCCCACAGGGAAACGCAAGAGAATCGCGCTGGGTAACAGGCCCGTTTCTATAAACAGTCCCCTCCAGGCGCCGCCCACACGTGGCAGCTGCCTCCGCTGCCCGGTGCACCGCCCTCCGCTCTCCTCAGGAAGGGGTGGCCTGAAATCCCGATTTCCTGGGTAGGGAACAGGAACGTGGGGGGTCGCACAGGCAAATGCCGCAGCCCCATCTAAGGAGTGTGCAATCAGAGCTTGGTCCCCTTGTCCCCTCACATTCTCCGAGCCCAACAGCGCCAGTCTGGCTGAGGGAACCCGTGTGACTCAGGAGGGCCCCGTGACCCCATCAACATTTCTGCTGGTGCACGCTCCCACCGCCAGGTGGCGCCAAAGAGCAACCAGGCCAAGGGCTCGGGCCACTGGGGTCCCAGGCCTGCCCTGGTCGCTTCAGTGGGTTATAAGGGCAACGCCACGTGTTACTTTTCAGATCCTACTTATCATGTTATGGTGGGATGGTACTGTGTCTAAATGATTTGGAAATTTTGGTTTGATTTTTTGAGATTATTTTTGCTCGGAATTGTACAGAAAAACTAAGCTTTCTTGCAAAACCACGGTGAGAGGCTCCTCAGAACTACAAACGAACGCTATAGGACAGATGAAACTGACAGAGCACCGAAGGCAGGCGACAGACTCCGTGCTCTGCTCAGCTGCTGGGGCGCTGGCGTCTCTGGGCTCGGGGCGGGGTGGCTGCAGGAGGGCCGGCAGGGGCCGCCCGGCAGGAGTGGGGGGCGGGTGCCCGCTTTTCTTCTCTCCAGGATGGGACACAGAGGTGTCTACTGGGGAGGCTATCGCTGGGTCACCTTGGAGAGGGCGTTCGCCCGGCCTAACTGCCGGTTTTACCTTCGCGAGTCTTGGTTTACAAGCGGCTGAGAGGAGCAGGCCCTGGGGAGGGGTGTCCAAGCGGCAGCAGAGGGTACGGCAGGGCGGGGCGGGGGGACGGCCGATGTCGACAGGCTGCCGACAGCTGGGCCTGGGCCTGGGCCTGCCGACGCCGAAGCCTTTGCCTTCTCATCTTTGGCACGTGTCCTCCAACAGGCACATGTGCCAGGGAACTCACGGGCCAAACCCCAAGAACGCTTTCCTCCCCCCCAATCCAGTGTCACCTGACCTGTGGCGGGCTGGAGCATGACAGAAAGTGAGGAGAGTAGAACCTTCTCGTACGTCCACTAAAAAATCCTATTGTCGAAGACTCCGCAAAGTCACAGAACATCAGTGCCGGGAGAGATCCAGAAGCACGCAGTAAGTTCATCCAGTAAGTCCGGTCATCCTGACCCACGAGGCCTCCTGCCTAGCGGCCTGGGCGGCTCTTCCTTTTCTCTCGGCTTCTGGATTTCTTACGATCTGTGCCTCTCACCTGGCACTGCCCTCACGCTGTCTTGCACACGTCTGCTATGCTTAGTGATTTTTAAAAAGCACATCCGGTAAGTAAATAAATGATAATGGCAGCTCCATTTACTGAGTGCAAATTACAAGGTAAACGCTGAGTTTAGCGTTTCACGTATTTTATCTTAAACTCTTACGAAAACAAAGTCATTTCAGTATTGGGCCCATTTCACAGACGAAGAGCCTGAGGCTCAGAGAGGTCGCGTAAGTTGCTTAAGGTAATTCATTCGGTCAGCAAGCATTTTCCAAGTTGCCATCATCCGCCAGACTCTGTGCTGGGGACACGACTGGTGAGCGAACTGGACCTGAATCTGAATCCAGTCACACAGGAGAAAACGCTGGAACGTGAAGTCAGGACAAGACTGTGAGAGGCCCCGAAACGAGCAGCGAAAGAGCCTTAGAAAAAAAAAAGCACAGGATGATACGACCAGTCTACGGTTCCCAACTCCCGTCAGTGGCCTGGAGGGACATACAGCAGGAGGTGGCCGGTCGAGAGGCCTGTGTGCGAGCCCGGACAGCAGACAGCGTTCGTGACAGGCTTGTCCCGAAAAGAACAGCTCAATTCATGCAGTGGCGATGGTCTGGGAGTTGGAAGCAAACGAAAGGCCCTCTGCTCAGGAGCGCGCACGGCTCAGAAGTCTCAGCCACGTGGCTGTACGTGGAGCTGAACGCGTCACTCTGCAAGCCTCGGAGAAGAGTGAGGCACGGGGTGGCGGCAAGTCCCACCGAGGGGCTGGCTGGGCTGACTGGGTGGCCCTGTGGCACTCGGCCCCCTCCCCTCACCTGTGGGAGCACCTGAAGGAAACCGTCTTCTGCCCTACCCCCCAGCATTTTTGTCACATACCCAGAGCCCAGGCTGCACGTCACGGAAGAGCCGGGATCAGAACTCGGCTCTCCCGCGCTCCCGGCTGCTCCCCGCAGCCGCGGGACCCAGCTGGGCAGGCTCGGCGCCCTGGGCCTTAGTCCCGCTGCCCCCTCTGCCTCAGACTGCGGCTGTACCGAAATAACCGAGGGCCATCATTTCTCCCTTTCTTCCTCTCCTGACCCTTCCTGTCTCCTCGCCCTAGCAAAGAAGGAGGTGCCAATTTTAAAATTTGTGGACAGAGGACGTTCTCTTAACAGCAGCAAAAGATGTCCTCTAAGCACGGGACAGACGCCCGCGCGCGATAAGCACAGGCTGCAGACGCGCCATCCTGCTCCGAGTGAGCGACCGTGTATGCCAGAGCACGCCCGGCGGCGGGTTCACTGCGGCGTCTCGTCACCGACACAAGCGAAGTGGTCTGAGAGGCGTCATGAGCGGGGGGCGTTTTGGGGGACAGTAGGAAGACAGAGAAGGCGTGGGCCACGAGGAACAGGCAGAGCTGGGTCAGCAGGCCTGGCTGTGCGCCCAGCGGGCTGTGGGGCTCGGAGCGAGTTGCACGCCCCTCTGGGCTCGGTGTTCTCGTTGGTGAGACGAGGCACCTGGACCGCAGCCTCTAAGTCACCTTCTGGACGAACGTTTTCATGAAAGGATGTCTGTTTCCTCCACTGCTCAAGAAAGAAGCAGTTGCTTTGGGGGGCTAATTCCCTCTTTCCATCTGTGACCCTAGCTCCCACCTCCTCTGCGGGGCAGGCACACGAGGGGGCGCGCCCCAGGACCGAGGGCTGTGTGCAGCTTCGACAGCGCCCGAGGCCAGGGCAAAGCGCCAGGCGTCCGCGCATCACGCCTCCCCGTCCGCCCTCTGCCCCGGACCCTGCCCCGCCGCCCGGATGCCAGCAGGTGGTCGCTCCCTCCTTCCGTGCACGCGGGGATGGAGGGCAGTGGAAAAAACATGTCGGCCCGCTTCTGTGACCCGACTGCCACTCGACGAGGACAGCTCGGGGACCTCTGAGTGCACGAATCTCCCGGCCCTTGGTCCTCTGATGTCATTGCTTTGCCTCCTAACTCAACGCGCAGGCAGCCGCTTCTGTGGGAGCCTGTCGTGCAACTTCTCAGAATCACAACGTGAAAGCCAGAGGGAGCGGAGCACCGACCTTGTCCCCCCGCAGGACCCTGTCCCCCGCAGGATGCCCTGAGCCTGGCTCTCCAGCCCCTCCTGCCCGCGCCCTGGCACCTGCCCCTCCCTCACCCCAGCGCCCATTCGCCGTACTGTCCTTTCGGCACGAGCTCACACGCCGGGACCTGGTGTCCGCTGAACAAACTCCTCTCTCTGCGTGTGGCCCGGCTTAGGCAGCAGCTAAACGGCACATTTCTGGGTGTCAGTACCCTGAGCGGAACGGATGGTCAATAGGAGAGAGGATGAGAGAGCGGGAAACAGACAGACTCCACGAATAAAAGGAGCTGCGCACACGCGCTGACGGAGAGCGGAGCGCGCGGCGGGGACGGAGAGCGGAGCGCGCGGCGGGGACGCACAAGGAACTACAGCTCGGTCTTGACGTCTTCGAGAAGGGTAGACGCCCATCATTCAGCTTCTCATCTTTTTCTCCTTAAAAGAGTTGCCTGGTTCTTCCAAACTTGGTTGCTTAGGAAACATTACTTTGTAAAACCTCACTTGTGCACAGACGGTGTCCCTGACTGTCCCTCCATCTCACTTGGGTGCCTGTCAGACGCCCTCGCTGCCTGCAGAGGAGTTAGTTACCTGTCCACCTCTGCGATCACCTGCGTCAGGCCCATCCTCTGAGACCAGCCTGGAAGCCCCGGGAGGGCGGGGGCTGTCCTGGCCACCACCGCCCGCCACGCACTAGCTCGGTCCCGACAAACAGCAGCTGCCCGGAAAATCCTCACAGGAGGAGGATGGACCAGGGAGACGGTCCACAGGTGGCCTGGGTTTGAAACTGAAGTCTGGGAAGTGGAACATTACAGGAAAGCTCGGTTGTATTACTTCGGCCCAAGGGAAAGGACTGATCTCAATCCTAAGTGCCTGACCTCGTGGGCCGACAGCCCGCGCACACCTTCCAGTCTAAAAACGCCGAAGAGGAATTTGAGAACTTCACGGATCAAAGAGAGGTTTTGTTTTTCATCTTGAGAACCTAAGAGATCATCTCAAACCTCCGCAAAGTCTTTTATAAATGAGCAGTAAAAACGCAAAACACTCCCCCCAATTCAGATGATCACGGGCCTCATCGAGAGCCCGAACGAAGCCGTGGTGCAGGCGGCCCCGGGGGACAGCGGCCTCGCGCACCGCCCCTCCAGGCGGGCCTTCGCCTTACCGCAGGTGGGGACGTCCTCCTCGGCTGAGGAGGTCTGCTCGTCTGTCGACGGCTTTTTTTTTCCCAGACCGATGATCTTGGTGATTTTCTTCCCGGTGACTTTAGACACGGTTCCCTTGCTCTCTGATTTGGAACTTTTTTTCCTCTTAACTGTCAAGAATAATGACAATAAAAAAGCATGTTTTAATTGTAGACTTTAACTGGAAACACAGCAAAATAAAGCATTAAGTTGCGGCCAATTTTCCGTCCCTCCATTTTTCCTTATTGAGCACCTGCTACACGGCAGCTACCGGCACACGGGTTAACATCGTGGGAATATTTACTCGCCGCGTCTACTGACGGCTGCCACGCAGGATTAACTCTTAACCACGTGCAGTGCCAGTCAGGACAAGCGAGGCTTCCACATGGACGGGCACTAGGACCTTGCCTCCCTTTCCTGACGTCAATGGCTGTGTCGGGGGACAGCTTACCAATCTCCCCAAAGCGCACTGCACCGGTTTATTAAATGCTGGGGTCGTCGCCTTACGAGGAGACAGGAGTCTTAGTCATCCCCTGTGGCTCTGACCGCGTGGGGTCTGGACTGTGTCCACGTTCAGTCAGGAGGCTGCGTGCCAGAGCTGCGTGCGTCCAGCACTTTCTCTGAGTGGCCAGCGCTCTGTCTGAGCCACGACAGCTAGGACAAAGGGACCTGTGCGGAAACTTCTCAGCTACAAACTGGTCAAGAGGCGGGGCGAGGACGAAATCTGAGAGAGAAGCCAGAACGCACTGCGACGATTCGCTTCCTTCAGGAGCTGTTTACTGTCGACGACACGCGAAGCACCGTGCCGGGCAAAAAAAAAAGTTTGAACCAAGGTCACCTTTACGAAGTACAGAAGGCTGCTCTTATAAACAAATGAATAAATAGATAAATAACAGAACGTCCGATACAGGTGAACTCACTCACACGCGCGTCCACACGTTCGCTCCGCAGGACCTCACTTTACGCGGGGACCCCGGAGATGAAACGGGAAACAGGACCTCACTTTACGCGGGGGCCCGGGAGAAGAAATGGGAAACAAGGAGAGTCCGACCGAGGCAACGCCCGCCGCGCCTCGACATCTGGCAGGACCCTAAGACGGCTCCACGTCAGGGCGAATCTCAGAGACAGCCTTCCGGGCTCTGATGACACACCCTGTGCCCGGCGGGCGACAGACCGTACTTCCGATGGGGAGGACTAAAAATACCCTCAGAATCGACGGAGTTACAGTCACCAGGCAAAAGCGGAGACCGTGGCCTGCTGGAGTGAACCCTGTAATATCACAGTCGCCCACATTACTTGGGTTCCGAGACTCTTAGCGGCCCGAGCGGCTATGTGCTTTATGGTGACCGCATTTCAGAGCGGGGACGCCTGGTCCACGCTAAGGGCGGAGTGCAGGTTGGCGGGCTGGGCAGCTGCTCGCCCGGGAAACTGCGGTGGCAGCTTCGAGCACAGTGGCTGTCGGGCTGTGCATGGCCAAGCCCCTCCCCGCCACCCACGGGTCCCACCCCTCGTCAGCCCACACGCTGTGCAGGAAATCACGTGCTGACACATCGGACACAGGACTTGTATTCGGAACACAGAAAAAAACTCTCAGATGTCAAGGATAAGAGCAAATGATTCAATAAAAACAAGGGCAAAAGATTTGAATAGGCATTTCACGAAAGAGGGTACCAGGATGGCAAAGAAGCACGTTTTAAAATGGTGAACTTTGTTCGTCATTAGGAAAACACACGTGAAAGCCACAATACACAGCGCTACGTATCTATTCGAACGGCCAACGTGAAACAAACACCACGACACAAAGCGAAGATGACAACCCGAGGCTGTCGCGGGTGCGTCTGACCGAGGAATCCCGCTCCCAGGCACCTAAGCAAGAGAGATGAAAATGTGTTCACGCAAAAACCGGACTCCTGTGGACGTCTACACAGCTAAAGTCACAACCCCTCAAAGGCGCAGACAGCCCAGGCGTTCTTTGGTGGGTGGCGGATGAGCTGACTGTGTGTCCACACGCCAACGCCCTGCGGCCACGTAAAGGAGCAGATTGCTGAGCAGGCCGCTGCATGGACGCATCTCACGTTCAGGACCTTAGTCAAAGCAGCCAGACCCAGGGGCTACTGACTGTCTGTCTCCCGTTACAGGATGCTTTGGTGATGGACAGAAAACAGACCAGACGCTAAC